AATTTGCTGACGTCGCGGGGCCATAAAATAGGCCGGCAGCTGCCTATTGCCTTCCAGGTCCCGTTCCGAATTCGGTAGTGCCAAAACACAGGCCGAAAACACGCCGAGCGGGCTCTTTCTTGAATTGTGACATAGGCTTAAAGTGTGGGAAAAGAAGGGAAACCTGAATGAATGTGATAACTTAAGGGGAGTGACAATTCTTTTTTATACCAGTGAAGATGTATGCCAAATGCCTCCTGAACCTCATGAGATGCAGTAGGCAAGGTCCTCTGGGAGCTGCGAGCAACAAGCTAGGTTTCGCTCAAAGAGATCCTGTGCTGAGCAGATCTTCACCCTGCGGTGGATGAAATGTGCTGAACTGCAAACCCCTCTAGCTATCAGATTCATTGATTTCTGCAAGGCGTTTGATAGCATCTAAAGTCCCTCTTTATCATGTACAGTTATGGACTACCAAGTAAACTTATGTATGCAGTTAAACAGATATACTGAAACTCGAAGTGTTGTATATGTGTACGGACGGTTGAAGGATACAGCGGTTGGTTTGAAGACGGGTCCTCCAAGGTTGTGTCCTGTCACAGATCCTCTTTCCCGTGGCTATCGACTGGGTACTTGGGAAGCAACAGGAGAAAAGGGGGGTAAAGGGGGTTCCAGAGACAAAGTTTGCCGACCTTGACTTTGCAGACGACATTGCGACATAGCGGAAAACACCAGAGATCTCCAACCCCTAGTGACCAACATAGTCCGTCTGCAGACAGCATTGGGCTCAGCATCAGGGCCAAAAGCAATTAACATGCTGATAGGGACACACGCTCCTCTTAGAAGCGTGACCATTGACGAGAACAAATTGAAAGTGGCGGAGAACTTCACCTACCTTGGGAGCTCCACCAACAACAAAGGACAGATGGACAATGAGCTAGACTGTGGACATGGAAAGGCCTCAGCAGCCTTCAACCAGCTTGGCTTTGAAACCTACTACACTGTATGTGGAAATCAGCCAAGAAAAGAGACTGGAATCACTGGATGCTTCTTATAGTGAATGCGTGAGGAAGATCTTAAGCATCAGACGACAGGACTTCATACCCAACACAGATATATGAGCCAGAGCTAACCAACAGCCAGTGTCTACAATCATACGCAAGCGGCGTTTCGTGCTAGAAGACGTCTGCTATCTAGACTTAAGTAAACTTAGAATTGTCTTTCAATATTGAACAGGTTTTGGGTCAGATAAACTATACCAAGGCATGTGCGTTTGCATGAAACATGGGTCGGAATTAGGACCCCTCCTTGCTGGCAGCCAGGTGCGTCAATAACAGACAAGGCCCAAATTTGCATATGTAGCAAAAAATAATGGTTCTATCTTTACTGAAATGGCTTAATTCAATTTGTTATCCCTCAAAAGATGGGGATAGACACCAAAATTATTCTGATACAATGAGTAGTTACTGAGATATTGACGAAAAACAGATTTTCAGTAATGGCCGCCCTAATTTGCATATTGCGCGGCCCAAATTTGCATAATTTAGCAAAAAATAGTGGTTCTATCTTTACCGAAATGGCTTAATTTAATTCGTTATCCCTCAAAAGATGGGGATAGACACCAAAATTATTCTGATACCATGAGTAGTTACTGAGATATTGACGAAAACTGGATTTTCAGTAATGGCCACCTTAATTTGCATATTGTGGGAATTGCCCAAGGATGACAGAGTGGCATCATTCAGATTCTGAAAGAGCACACCTCAGAGATATAGAAACAACAAAAAAACTTTGTATGGACCGCATTGCACGCTTATTGGTCTCTGCCACCAGACTAGTTTATATGTTAATAAATGTGAACAATAAAAATGAAGAATAAAAATCTGAAAAAGCAATATATTTTGTGTTTACATGATATTTCCGATTTTCGGGTTTCCGATGTTTTCATGTTTTGCTATCGCTAACTGATTAGAAAGGCCTTGTATAGGCTAGATTCGGCTCCTATCTAGGATAAATGACCCATTTTCACCTACCCCTGTTAAATGGTTTAGTTCAAATGTTGCATTTTCGATGGTCAGTAACATGATATTCCAGACTCACTAAAGTCTGTTTCAGCATCATCACATTTTCTTGACTATCCCCATCTTTGTAGCAGCAAAACAGAACATATTTGATTGCCCAAATGAAATAGAACATCCTATACAAATAAAAGTATCCTTATCGCACTTTGCGGTTGGCTGCGGTTAACCCGAGGTCACCCGATGACAGAAAGGCAAATCTCCAAGCAGATCCTAGGGTGGCAAAAGACCGTATCAAGTTGGCCATGCAGTATCCATTGTGTGGCGTATTGGACCCTCTCTGGCCAATGGATATACTGCCTGGCCAATTTGATACTGTCTTTTGCCACCCTAGGATCTGCTTGGAGATTAAAAGAGGCCACCTGTGAGAAAAGCGGAACCTGTGGGCGGTTCTGAAACCTCGCCCAAGTTTCCCGGGGAAATCCCGCGGCCTGGGGAACACGATCCTGGCAACCGTTGCTAGGGAAAAGCCATTTACAATTGCCAAAAGGGGAGGATTACGACAAAAAAATGCCAGATAAACTCAGAAGCAAGGTCTTCTGCAATATGTGCCTTTAAATACATTTTAACTAAGTTCAACGAACAATTTTGTGTTACTTAGTGCATGTTTAAAACATCACACAGACAAATAAAAAGGTGGAAAAACTCCCTTCCCACCCCCGCTGCAAAACTTTTAGACCGGTCCGATTTTGTCAAACGACTTTTTCGGTAAATCCCCGGATCCGGGCCTCTCAGTGTTCCAAAGCGTCCCGACGCTGAGCTGGCGCTGCAGAGATGGTGGCCGGGCGGTGGCCTGTGTTTTTCTTATCCTGACTGAAGAAGGAGAAGAAATATCAAGAGATCTCGTGGAGAAAATATCACTTTATGTGACGATGGTGAGTGAAATGGCAGCAAAACCATCAGTGGATGTTTCAAATCCATCCTTCACCAGCTGAGGTGCCCTTGCCATGTTGACCCTCAAGCCAGGATAGGTTTGGCATTTTTGTTACACGTTGTACTGAAGTATTTATATCCCTTTTCTCGTTGCAATTTTCTCATTTGATCGTTACTTGTGTTTCTAACTGTACTGGAAACAACGAAATGTGTCTTTAGCAGGTAAACCATTATTACGGAGTCTATCTAATCAACATGAAGTGGGATTGTTTGTATGTGTGGGGAGTGTTTGCTTTTTTCACCAGGGTGGATTGCAACTGTGAGCTGAAAAGCTGTTGGGCGGCCTGAGCCTACACCTTGGGGTCATCTTAGGGCAAGCAACTGAAGTTCAAGGACACAGATTGCACAGTTCAAGGTCAGTGTCAGGCTATGTGTGTATCTAAGAGAGAAAATGTCTCCAAACGTTGTTCGATTTGGCAGCACCGACATTTTTTGCAACCGCCATTTTTGTGTTGTGACGAATTCTGATTGGTCAGCAATGCTGACCAGTGAATTTTCAAAATGTGCAAGGTGGTATCATTCAAAAGTCTGTTTAACCTCCTTGCTGGCATCTATGAAGCTTATTATATATGTCAAGCTACTTGCATGTGAGATGTATTGTATCACTTCTTGTTTGAGTTTTTTGGTCGTAAACAATCTTGCTTATTCAGCGTTGGAAATCCCCTACATTGTACGTTGTGTAATCCACCCACGCTTTGCAAAAAGCAGAAGTGCGCACGCTGCAGTTTGACCCTTTGCTCGTTGGGTGGCGCTTCTGAGCCGTGAAGTGATTTATGGCTATAAACGATCGTGTGAATACATGTTCTACATATCGGAGTTTGTAACCCAATATTCTACATATTTTTCCAGATCAAAGCATCATGCGCGATCGCGCGACTTTCTATGTCATTTTCGTACAGTGCATGACCATTCCTTTTACCGTTGAGAAAAAATAGGTAGATAGTTTTCTTCTGGCCTGGGCACTTAGGCAGGTAGGCAGGTTTTCTTCCGCTTTAACGCTACGTTTGAGTCCATTCTGCAAATGATTATATCAGCAGATTGAGTTTCAATACCGGGACTCCCCTCACATACATGTACATGCCACCTGTTTGGCTGCAATGAGATCATTCGCCGCTAGAGGGCGCACCTACCCTCTCACCTGTTGGCCACATTCGTCCCATTGACAAACAATGTCAACAAAAAGGCGCCAAAAGGTCACCGCACAACAAAAGTCCCCTCCACAAAAGTCAGCCGCTATGCCCGTTATCAAGTTCACTTAGCTCCTATTGTGCAGGGGAACGGCCTTGAAATTCTTTTGAACGACGCACAATCAAAGTTAGTACTTCTTGGCAGAGCGTCAAAAAAAATCTTTAATTATAGAGCTCCGGAATTCGTGCTTGCAAGACCGACTACAACTTAGTACAAGGCAGTCTTTATAGGTGTGGATGTGGCCAAGAAAATTCAAACCTTCACTATAATTTTCATGAAACTTCGGAGAGCATCAGAATGCCATAGATTTGTTTCTAGCCATCCTTAGTCCGTGAATAGTTTCATCAGGTTGGCAAGTCATTGAGTAAAGAGACACAACTCTGAAGTGCTTTATTCACATCTGACGTCAGAATTGCCCTGAGGAAGGTGACAGACGGTCACGGAAACGTCGCCTGTGATTAAACACTTGGTTGTGTAAAAAGAGTCTCTTTACTTTAGCCTTCCTTAATGTCTGCATACCGAGCCTGCCATTCTCCAGACAGCACTTTTGTTGTTAAGACGTTCCGGAATGTGTCTATTGACCGGTAATGGGCGGTTATAGTTTGGACTCCAGCCAAGCTAGTCCAGGTTTGGACGGGAGCCCAGAGAAACATCGGCATTTGTGCGAGAACGTTCCTGAAATCCGTGCATGTTTGAGTTGTGTTTTTGTCGATGATCAACATGCCTTTTTAAGTACATTTGTACCTTCCTTCAATGAAAATAGGCTGAAACATGAGCTTGCGCCAGTCCTTCCTTTCGACTAGATATATCTGCCATAATTGGCGAAAACTCTATGGGATAGCTTCTGATCGCTAGGAATGGTCTACTAGGATTCTGAAAAGGGCCCGAGGGTTGGTTAGACCAGACAACTTAGTCAAGTCACTTTAGTCCTCGTAGTCACTAGCCCGGCTCCCAAACCCGTTCTGTTTGCCTCATAGAGTCGATTCCTTCGAGCGTTACCGCCCTACGGAGCCTGCATACGAGACTAATATGCCTCACACACGCAGACTGTTCGCAAGTAACCAAGTCTCTAAGATAATCGCGTCCACCAGAAATATTCTCGGTGTGGTTGCCATTTTTCTACAGCACTTGAACAACTTTTGTGCGCGTTTGAATCATCGCCACCAGCCCGCCATGACCATATTTGTCCAAAATTCCCAGAAGTCCCAGTTTTTCTCGGAACGAAAGTGACACGAGCGATTGTTTGCCTGCTTAAGTTACCCACCTGAGGCGCTCAGGGGGCGGAGCTTCGCGTCCTGACCTCCGTGCGGGCTCCCGAAGTTTGCGAACACGCCCAGACCGTCCATGTACCCTGCACCGCCGATAGCACTATGGCGCTGGGAGCTTCCCCCACCAGGGGAGACCGCGGGGAAGTCGTGGTGATTCCCCGCCGCAGCTTCTACGCGGTGAGTTTCGCGGTGGCGCTTCTGGTCCTGACGTCTCTGGGGCTCGGCGTGAGCGGGTTCGTGTACCTGTTGCGCCAGGTGGAGGAACTGAGGGCCGCCAGGTGTGCGTGCGGCGCCGTCAAGCGGGACGTGGGGCCGCACCTGACGGGAGAGACGGAACCTCCCGCCGACAGGAGTCTGGCAGCGGCCGGGGACCAGGTGAGTCGAGAAAAGTTGCTGGGTGAGAATTCGGGTTGCTGCATCATGTAGTAACAATGGCGCGTAACCTTTGGCCTTACGCGGCAAACATGTCTTTTTCATGGGGTGAACTAAATGTCAGTCTTGACGTACGTAGTTAGAAAATTAGCTCTCTTTGGAGAAAGGTGTTTACATCTGAAAATAACAAGTACATTTACAGTGAAGCGGACGAACTAAATGTATTATACGTATAACACGGTGAAATGAAGAAATAGTATATGTATAATGATGCAATAATATAGGTCAGTCATTCATAGCATTCCAGAATGCAGGGTAAAGAAGAGAAGACAAAAATTTGCTGCAAGGTTGTGTTAATAGCTCATTAAGGTGCAGAAGAGGTATGTCACATCCCGACAACACGTTACAGACCGTCGGGGGTTGCCTATGGTTTAACAATAGGAACGGAAAATGCGGCCTTGCTTGTTGCTTTTTGTACTCAGTCAATCGTGTAGGTAGAGACCTCTTAAGGGATGTGAAGAACATAGTCACAGTTAACAGGTGGTCGCTGTTGACATTATTCGTAATGTTTGGTTCAATGTGGAAAATAATCAGGGATCAGCAAACAGTGGTGGCCAAAATGGCCAGGGGGTCCTCTTGCAGAGGTTAGCCTGGATGCGAGATCCACAGCATACTAGGTCTTACGTTATAGCACACTAGATAACTTTGGGGATAGTAGTACATGTATAGTGTGCTGTGGGTCTGGTATCCAGGCTAGCAGAGGTAGACTTAGCGTGGTTACTGGTACAGGTTTGACTGTACGTTTGCTCACCGCATAAGCTTAGATCGCTGTAATAACTTTTTCTCGTCTTTTGTTCTTCCCCAGCTCTCTGCTATCCTCAGGAATGGCAGGGACAAACGGAACTTGCCCCCGCTCGACATTAACATAGCACTACCGGACGTTGTGCGAGAAATCATCGGGCAGGAAGCGGAGGAGGCCCGAGATGAGGACGACTCTGTCCCCGCAGGTGACCCACCCTTAAGCCGAGCAAAACGGGGTGGAGGTTAGTCTCTAGTCTCCAACAGGCTCCTTCGGCGGCTGAGAATGTAGCAGGAATCAGTGGCCAAGAATGTTGGATAGTTTCCCAGAGGAGGTCCTGTAAAGTTATCTGCCCAACTAACTCTCCCTCCTCTTTCAGATCATTCACCCTTTGGCAATTTCTACTATATTGTCAGCGACAAAAAGGAGTCTGGTGGAGACTAGGTGACAGTATACTAGTATAGCAGATAGTAGCTAGCAAGAAGTATGTGGTGATAAAATATAAATGCTGAGAAATCATTATTGTTCATTATTATAGACATTTCTTTGACTTTGTTTGGTGTTATGATATTATTTGTGACATTTTATTTATAACAATTCTTTTATATTTTCTTAGGTGGAGGAAAGAGAGGTGGAAAAGGCAAGAAAGGTATCATTCCTTTTTTTTTTCCCCACAACTCTTACCTAAATGTTGGCACATCTGAGACTACTAGTATATAGTTTTCTGATTTTTTAACGACAAATCTTGGCAGGCACTCTAAGACTAGTACTATCACACAATAATATTTTGAACACTTGGATACCTGAATCCCAATGTTTACGTTGATTATAATAATTGATTTATTGCAAATTCATGCCCAAGGGCTAATTGCAGGAACAGAAGAAACATTTGGTATAAAAACAGACAATTAGTACACAGAGAACTACC